TTGTACTTTGCGCAAATACCGCTTAGAACAGATCCCTGACGTTAATGACCTATGAAACACGCGTTCGTTTTTCACTTCACACAATAGAAGTCCCAGAAAAAAAATTAAAGAAAAACGAGCAGCGTTCACCCACTCAACTCGCAGCCAGAACAAGCGGCCACGCGATCTGGAGCCGATTATATGCCGCCAATGTTAATCATAGCCACGCGCTGGGGTTGGCAAAGCACAGGACACGCGCTGAGTTCCAGACATTGTTATGGCTCGGCTCACTGTCGTCGTTGCAACGATTGGACACGGGCCACTACCCGAATGCTTCTCGAGCTAGTAATCATTACGAGCCCAAATCGAGTGCCCACGCAATGCTCGGGTCCAATCTACGAACCGCATTCAAATATCGTCACTTGGGAGTACTTCAATTCCCACGTTACGTCATCAAATTTTGCAAAGGAGAGATTAAACGAAAATAATTGCTTTTGTCCTTGAAATTTCACCGCAACAAAGGAGTTTCTTGGCCAGTGGCGTTGCGTGCGAGTATCCTTGAGTCCCACTAGTCCCAGTAAGCTCGTGTATAGTGAAAAACATTCCAACTGAATATCGTTGAACAGCTCCTTTAACGAGCATTGGACTGCCAGCACACATCCCCCCCCCCTCCCAAAGTGGAAGCATACCGACATCGCCTTAATACCAAAACCCGGAAAACTGCATATATCGAAGACAAAGGCCATTTCCCGACCCCATGTACGGCTTCCAACCCCATCGTTCTACTCAAGCTGTCCTCTTGCAACTGAAAGAAGAAATCATCGATCGGCTCACTAGCACACACAAGCGTTGCATCCTTGCCCTGGACATCAAGGGTGCTTTTCACAACGTCTCCCACAAAGCCATCCTTCAGGGACTAAACTCTATCGATCGCGGACAACGAATCTACGACTATGTCAGGCTTTCCTCACAGGCCGTACTGCAACCATTCGCATCGGACATCTACGCTCGAACACATTCAAAACCATCCCCAAAGGCACCCCACAAGGCTCCGTGACTTCACCGCTTCTCTTTAACATCGCTATGAAGGACCTTCCCCCACTCTTGCAACATATCCCGCATCTAAGGCACGCACTCTACGCGGGTGACTTCACCCTATGGATCCCTACGGGATCCATGGGAGAGCAACTGGACTCCGTGCAAAGCGCCATCGAAGAAACACATCGGTATCTCAGCGCCAGGGGCCTTGAGTGTGATCCGGAAAAATCCGCCCTCCTTACCCTCTGGACGAAGACGGCGCAACAACGTAAGCGAGGCATCCCGGATTTAGAGATCACCATAGCAGGAAAACCTGTCCCCAACGGTCCCCAACGTTCCCACCTCCGTATCCTTGGCCTCACGATCCCCCAAAACGGATCGGGTCTACAGACCATTGCACCGCCTTCAACGGACACTCTCCCAACTCATGCACCTAATAGACCTTGTATCACATCGAAGATTTGGCATGCAAGAATCTGACACCTTACGCATTGTACAAGCCATACTCATTAGCCAGGTCGCCTATGGCACGACATATTTGGCCCTCAAAACGACCGAAAAAAAAATCTTAATATTGCTCTGCGCCAAGCATACAAGACCTCCTTAGGACTATACCTCCCAAGACTTCAACGAAGAATTCGTTGCGATTAGGAGGATTAGGATTAGCGGCACATCACATCTCCCAGTTAGGAGGCCTTAAATTAACACATACCGGACGAGCCACCCTGAGAAAATTAGGCTACGCGACACTCCCTCTTGCAAGAACACAAAGAACGAGTAGCTCTGCACCTAAGAAAAGCCGTTTGTATAGCCCAGATCCCCAAGAACATGCATCCAGTTCACAATGTTTTGTGTGTTACGGCGTTACGGCGGCGAGATTATAGACTGGCCATGCCTGGGTTGAGAGTGCCTTACCGCGTAGAGACGGCGCCTCCTCCTATTTTTTCAAGCGTTCGCGCGCTTTGGGCGTCGAAAGTCGAAAGAAGAGTTAACTAGAAACGTTCCTTGTTCCGCTTCAATGGATAGATATTGGCTACAGAGTGATGCCAACTTGTCTCCGATCCCAGTTTTTAAGAAAGCGACCTTTGTATTCATCGGAGGGGAACCGAGCCCCTGAAAGCAGCCTTTGTATCCATCAGGGGGGGGGGGGGGGACATAATTCCCGAAAGTTGTATTTGTTGCCATCGGAGGGGGAAACTTTAATTTCCCTCTCGTGGCTTCCACAAAGTCGAAAGATAAAGCAAATATGTACAGTCAGAAAGGCATAACCCTCCTCGCGCGTTGGCCGCGACATCACGGAAACGATGGGACGCTATTGTATGCGGAGGTGGCGGAGGGATATATTATTTCTTTTGAGGCATTTGCCGCTACCTTATTGACTTGTAACATACTGTAGAGCGCTTCTCGTTTCCGCCGCGGGAGGGTGAGCAACGAGCTGGAGCACTAGCTGGAGGCGCTATAGGCAGCCGGCAATGGCCAGGCGGCGCCACGAGAGTATTGCACTGAGCGCCACAAGCGGAGGCGTCTCTGTTAATGGGGCGGCCAGTTTGCCCGTCGGGCCGTTGCGAGCGGCAGCGACACCGATTTCAGCAGTCCCCGTGTGCACCTGCGTCCCTGCGTGCCATGTCCCTGGTGCTTTTATGCGGTTTTTAAGACCATCGGGAGCCTTGATAGGTCCAAATGTTGAGAGAATATTCTAGAGTCGTCATTTGGACCAGTTTGAGTTGTCTTCACTACTTGTGAACGCCCGATCGGTCTGTGCTTCGCTCGTCTCCCAGGAAGTGACACAACACAACGAGAAGCCAGCGAATGGGTTTATTGTACATCCCGGTTGCCCGTCTTCGACAGCCGGCAGTCCGGACCCGCCGATTTCAGTTGTCGCCCGGAACTCGCTCATTCGCAGTGGAAGCGGATCCGCGTTCGCAAAGCGGTTGCGAATGCGGTTGTATAAAGATCCAGTAGAGTTGCACGCGCACTCGATGACATCAAGTGCGCGTGCAATTGCACTGGATCTTTATACAACCGCGTTCGCAACCGCTTTGCGAACGCGGATTAGCTTCCAGTGTGAATGAGCGGGTTCAGAGCTCACAGTTGGAGCCCGTGTCCAGACCTGCGGATTGCCCTTCCCACGCCGGTGCTGCATAGACGAGCTGTTCCGGGCTATCACAGCCAGAGTCTCGCTGCGGAACCACTCCGGGATCGTCATGGACTAGTCCAGAATGGTCAATGTTCGCCGCTTCCGCCGGTCCTGATCCGAACTTCGCTGGTGGAATGGTGGAAAGCTCCCGGGAATCGCCATGGCCCAGACTACAGTCACTGTTTGGGTTCCCAGAGTAACGCATTCCTTTTCTTTCTGCCGACAACCAGAGCCGTGCCGTCAACATACTCACTCTAGCCGATCATGTTTTGGCTTGGTGAGCGTCATTGGACGGTAGCGATCACGTGACACAATCACCGCTAGACCCACCTCCATCAGCGCTTCAAGCGGCTCTAATCGCCACCATCTTGGGTCCAGCGAACAACTGCGCACACGCACGCTCTGCTGCTCATCGAACGCGCGCGTTTACGCGTCGTCTTCCCGTCTTTTCCACGCAGTTCCCATCTTTTCCACGCAGTTACCGACGTGAAAAGCAAGGAGGTTGTGTATGTGGTTGTGTGTACTTAGTGGCGCAATGCCTGCTTGTTGCGCTTTTGGGTGCAGCAGCAAGTCGGAGAATGGGAAGAGGCTCTTTCGGATCCCATGTCGAAAAAACGCCACTGCAAGACGGAAGAAGAAGGCTTGGCTGGCCATAGTTAAACGCAAGGATTTCCAGCCCACTCCAGCAAGCAAGCTTTGTGAGGTGAGCGCCAATTACAGCTGGTTCATTCCGCGTATCGCTCGTTGCCTGGCAGTCGAACAGGCGTCTACTGTGTTCGGTTTCGCACGAGCGACGCCCTTGCGATTTGGTAAGCGACGGGCTAAGATTAAGCCGGTGTTGGGTCAGATCTCTCGCTGTCGCATATCGCGTCACTCAATTTAAGATGTGTAGCAAACAAAGATCCATCGAAGGTCGCGTGCGTGCGGTTGTCTTTGAGAGTGACGTACCGATCGAAATCAAGTCCTTAAAAAATTGCCTTCATGCAGTTCATATTCTTTCTACTTTCGTAGTTCCGTGAAATGGTTCTGAATAGCGTTTAAATCGCAGTGTTTTCCTCTCAGATCGCCTCTACATGCGGCGTTTCTTTTTTTTTTTTTTTTTTACAATGATTTTTAGGATCATTTTGAAGAATCTCAATTCGAGACGCACCGAGCCTTTGGCAGAAAACTCCTCAAACAGAGCGCAGTCCCTACAATTTTTGGCGCTGGACTTATCATCGCAACCGCAACCAAGCAAAAAAGGGTCAGGAAGCCGCCAAAGAATCGATGTTCGGTGATTTGTTCAGGTAAGTTTCGAATTCCTTAAGTATTGTTTGGGAAAGTTACTTTGTGGGAAAAATTTGCCTGTGTTTGTTGATTTGCTCGTACAGTTCCTGAGGTCGTGGGATTACGTTTTCTGCTGGACGCATGCTTGACAGGGATACTGAGAAAATATATGCTAATTCTGAGAAACATTATTTCGTCATTCAAATTCAATTGTGTCGTACCAGCATGCAAACTCTCCAGTGTGGTGTATGCATCCGTAGCATGATTATTACACTGGCAATAAAGGGCTCCCACTTCATAGTGGGATTTGTTTGCCACTCTCTGTCACATGCATTGTGCAGGAAACCTCAGAAGCACAGTTTCAGACACTGCAGTTTAATGGCCCAAGTGAAACAACTGAATTCAACAGTGCAGGTATGGGTCATAGCACAGAAATTTGTAGTGCCAAGTAAAGAACACCATGTTCGTCTGCAGAGGTATGTTGGTGACTAAGTTAGTTTCATCTGTTTGCATCAACTTCTTGCAGCGCCGACGTCCACTTATTCATCTGCCAGAGACTACCGTGGCACTGGATGCACAGTCGACTGCGGTGAAGTTGGCACGTGCTGTTTCTTGTAAAAATGACATACAAAGTCATATGTTAGGAATATGTATTGTGTTTGAAGTGTTTCACATGACATTGTTTTCTTGTTGTGCTTTGTGTGATACATTCATTCTTACAGGGTTCGTTCCCTCTGGAGATACCCCTGGAAACTGCCGTGACCAACGTCATGAGGAAACAATTGCTGAACTTCGTAACAAGCTTGAACTGGCCAGCACCAAAAATGCAGAGCTGTCACAGTAGCTTCGCAATCTCAAGGGTGTGATTTTATTTAGTTCGTGTTTTTGAGTGAAAAACAAAGAGCATCTTATAGATTTCTATGCAATTCGCAGGCATTACAAACATTGTACATAATCTTTTTCTCATTAAATCTTGCAGAACTCATGGCAGCCAACATGTGTATACCGGAGTGTCATGGCATTGAACATGCAGTGGACTGCTGTGAAGGTGTGTTGGCGTGCACTGTTTCTTTTTAGGAAAACACAGGTGCACCTTAGGCGCATGGTAATGTGGTTGAATTGTTCTAGATATCGTCTTTTTTTCATGTCATGTAGAACACAGTCTTCTTTCCATGCCATGTACAACACATCTTTCCTTTAGTGATTGATGGTTTAATCCGTTTCAATTAACACTTTTGCAGAGACAACGGACTTCAACTCAACTACTACTTCAGACCGCTATGGCACTGAGCATACAGTAAGCTGCAGTGAAGGTGAGTTGACATATGCCCTCTTTCTTTTTAGGGAAACATAGTAGGTATATTTTGGCCACATGAAATGAGATTGAAGTGTTCTGGATCTCGTTCTATTTCCATGCCGGGTAAAACACACTACCAGGTCACTGTTGTGCAGGAAAGCCCATTGACGGTGCTGTCTCGCGCACTGCAGATGACGGGAGAGCAAGTACGGACTTCAGCAACTCAGGTATGGGTCACGACACAGGTGTTCCTGATGTCCGATAGCTAAAACACAGCATTTTTTCCAAACTGGACTCTTTTGATGGGCGACTGCTGTTTAATTTGTTTTAAATAACCTTTTGCAGAGCCGATGATTTCCGACTCAGCAATTCGTGACTGCCATGGTGCTGAGCACACAGTAGGCTGCAGTGAGTTGAAATGTGCGCTCTTTCTTTTTAGGAAAACATAGTAGGTATACTTTGGCCACATGTAATGAGATTGAAATGTTCTGGATGTCGTTCTATTTCCATGCCGTGTAAAACACACTACAAGGTCACTGTTGTGCAGGAAAGCCCGTCGACGGTGCTGTCTCGCACACATGCAGAGGACCGGAGAGCAAGTACGGACTTCAGCAAAACAGGTAGGGGTCACGACAGAGGCGTTCCTGGTGTCCAATAGCTAGAACACAGCATTGTTTTGTAGATGTAGATGTAGATGGTTGAGCGTGTTGGTTATTAATTTACGATAAGGAAAGAGGAACATTTAAGACAAACAGAACAGACGAGACAAGTCTTGTCTGTTTGTCTTAAATGTTCCTCTTTCCTTATTGTAAATTTCTCAAGATTCATACGATGTTTTAGAAGTGCATTCAATCCATTACGTTCACTCTGTGCATACTTTTCTTTATTAGTATAGTGTTTTGGTAAAAAATCTAGTCCAGATTAGTTCCCTGAGTGCATTGATATCTCCCTTTTACGCTGACATGTCAACTTTTGTTTTGTGAATGGTATTTTTTCCTCTTCGATGTATTGCACTGCTAAAGAGCAAACAGCTGTTTGTGTGGCAATGAAAACAAAGCAAATAGATATGTATCACAGGGGACTTTTATTCATAGGCTTGTCATTCATAACATTTGGCATAGTTATTTTACAGTGAAGGGAAAACATCCTACTACTAATCGCCTTTTAACATCATTGTTTAAGTAATCTAGATAGTGAAAAAATAGCCTACAAGCGAAGAAAGCTGTCTGCGCAGGTAAATCAAGTAAATGCTGTGTTCCTAAGCTGGCCTTCTGCATACATGTATAGAATACGTCCGCGACTCGTCAACGTTTAATTGCGTTAAGAAACAAAATCAAGCGATGCAGCTTGACGTCTGAATGCTTTGACCAACTTTTAAAATGAGGCTGGGCTCTAAGCGATGCAGTTCCACGCAACAACTGGAGGGAATACGCAGGTTGCCCGCGCCGGTGTTGTGCGCCTACGGCCGTCTTGGCCGTATGCGGAAGTTTTCCACCAAAATTTCGAGCCTTCAAAACAGTTTATTCAGCATGTATAGCGTATGCCAATAATAAAGGGAATTGTACAAGTGCGGACTTGGATGCATGTGGAGATCAGAGTGCAGAGAAAAACAAAAAAAGCGGAGACGTATGTGTGGCACATCGACTCGAATTAATGTTTACAAATGTTCGGTAGAGAGCAAATTATGTAATGTAATGTTAATTATCTACGGAAGCTACTCACAGCACCACAGGAGCTTTTGTGTAGGCCATCGACCAGTTTAAATAAAGCTCAACACGCTCCAATGCATGTCACTATCGCCTTCATAGCCCCGTCGACGCGCGGACCCAAGATGGCGGCGCCATAGTTTCGGTTTCAGCGCCGCGCCGCGGTTTTAAGATGAACCTTCGGAGTTTCGTTACTCTGGGAATCCATACAGTGACTCTAGCCCAGACCAGCCAGAACGGCTCTATCGTTCCTGCTCGGCCCCAGCTTCATGCAGCACGCTCTTCCTCTTTTCTCGCCGGCTGGCCCCCGCTCGCGCTTCGCTCGGCCGTCCTCTCCTCCCGACGCCCACACACACTAGAATAAAATTTAGGTAATAGACCGATCTCAGTAAGCGTTCGGCGCATGCGTGACGCCGCCATATCTTTAGTTCACAGGAGGCAGACGGCCGTGCATGCGAGAGCTCGTGCCGTCTCGTGCTCCACACGCGTAAAGTTCCAGCGGGGTTGTTGCACGTGCAGAAAGACTAAAGTTCCCTCGATGCATCGCGGCAGCGGTGGCGTAGTCAAACTGGCTGGTGAGACTCTGCATGCTACAGAAACGTACGCACATTGCAAAGCCTGGTGTAAAATGGCGACAGGCAACAAAGTGTACGTGTAAGAAGGATATTTACGCTTCGCACGAGATTTTTCAAAAAGAAAAACTTTAGCATCCTGCTTTCTGCACGCCGTCACATTTGTTACCAGACTCAGCATTATATTTGGTTGGTGAAACAAGCAACATGTTGTGCTACTAAAATCCACTATTTGAAAACTCGCAAGTTTGGAAGCTTTTTGGTTGCGACCACGCGTGGCCGAACGGCATTACGAGTGCCGGAACGGGCCGACGGGCCTTTCGCTCGAAGACCTGATCGCCCGATTCACGACGTCAGAGCGAAGCAACAATCGGCTCGATTGTTCCTATCGTATTTCCCTAATGTGACTGTCAAAGCGACTCGTAATAAAACTTGTATAAATACTTGTATAAAACTTGTATAACTTGTATTTTGCCGAGTAGTTGGCAAAATGAGTTCGTCCGACCACTTTCCAAGCCTGCACATATATTTTCGTTCACTTCCCCCCCAACGTTTCTGTAAAATTCACTTACTTGTTGCGTCGCACTGCAGTAATCCACTTCTGTCGCCGTGTCGCTTCCCAAGATCTCGAAGGAAAGCGGTGAAGTTTGACGCTTGAGTCACCTTCGCGACTGTGGCCGTCTTTCACGCAGCAGTAGCAACGTTTATTTTTGGGGGGAACTCTAGGAGTAGGCGAGATGTCACCGGAACCCGGTGAGGTTATAGAGACGTGAAGTTGGGACCTACTTTTACGAATAATGGTTCCATAAAAAGTCCACGCCGATCCGAAATGCAACGTTCACACGTGGTTTCTGGATGCGCCCGCCCGCAGCCCCCGCGACGCGCGTGGTCCTGGCCTACCCAGCTTCTTCATTTTGCAGATTTTGCAGCCGCTAGATGGCGCAACGTGTAGCGCCAAACTGCATTGCAGGTTGCCTATAAGTACAGGGTTCGATCGAGAAAAGTAAACCCTACTTTTCGGCCCGCGTAAAAAAACTACGCATCGCAGAACGCTCAAACTCCGCCAGAATGTAAAGCGCCGTTCACACTCTTGCGACCGAGTAAGACCGAGAGAGACCAGACCGGTTTTTAAGCCTTTTGCGACTTCTTAGGACTGGATGGGGTGCAACGGAGCTGGTCCTAAGAGATCGCAAGAGGCTTAAAAACCGGTCTGGTCTCTCTCGGTCGTACTCGGTTGCAGGAGTGTGAACGGGCCTTAACCCTAGCGGTCTAAGCAAGACGCCAAAGTTTCAGAACATGAGCTTACCTGGATCAAAAGATAAAAGAAAAAAACGAGAAATCTCTACGGGGAGGCTCCGACAACAGAGACGCAGACAGAGGCCGTCTGCTTTGCGTTGCGTCGCACAGGTGGCGCCGCCACCTATGCGGGTTGGCGGGTTATCACGGGCATCTGCTGGGCTTGGCGGCAAATTCGGAATTATTCTCTATCATTTCTGAAGTTTCACTTACGCACTGCTTTTCACTGTAACGAAAAAAAAAAATTACACGCTCTAATTTGTGATACTTCGGTGCATTTGCTCAGGCATAATATTTCTTCATCCTAGTTATTTTAGCAGATGTCTGCTTGGCTCTTCGCAAACCCGAACACCAGTTCTCCCGTTGATTACTTTTAATCTCTACCGTGTTTCGCTGCACTTTCCTGCCTGATGAGGCAATTAACCCAAAAGCAACGCGCGGACGTCGTGGTTTGGTATTTAAAGCGCAGAAGCTTTAAGGATGCTCGCCGCCGATAACGGCGAGTGCACCGTTCCAGGCCCCCCTCAAAGAGAACCATCTGGAAGTGGGTCTAGCGTTTTGGCGCAGTGGGCAGCGTCGCGAACAAGAAGCACGTCTTCAGTAGCCCGCCAGAGAAAGAGCAGCTCGTGCACGGGATCATCGGTGCTTTCGAAGCGGACCCGCACCTGTCCAAGAAGAGAGCGGCGAGTTTGTTTGGAGTTGCAGATCATACTGTGCGCCGGATTCTTCGCCGTCACAACCTGCATGCCTACAAGGTTCACGTTCTCCACGAGCTGAAGTCTGAAGACTATGAAAGACGGCTCGAGTTTTGCCGCGAATAGATCCTAAGGATCGCGGCCAACCCCTCCCATCTGGACTTCCTTCTGTTCTCGGACGTGGCCGTCTTTCACCTCGACGGAAAAGTCAACGCTCAGAACTGCCGGTACTGGAGCAATGGCAACCCGCACTGGACAATGGAGAAGTCTCAATGCTCTCCCAAGGTAACTCTCTGGTGCGGGATCTGGAGGGAGGGTGTTGTTGGGCCTTTTTTTTTTTTCGATAAGTGACGGGTAGAAGTTATCTGCGCATGTTGAAGGAGGAGTTTCTTCCCAAGCTCGAGGCCCTACACATGCAACGACAAGTTTGCGTTGTCATGCAAGATGGAGCGCCCCCACACTAGTGGATCTCCGTCTGGAAA